TGAGAGTGGAAATATGATCGATGCACCCTCGTCCAGCTCTCTGAGACCTGTCTGGTTTTCTCGAGTTCCACTTAGGCGTTGGATAACTGTGAACCCTATGATCTTGGACACAATATTAGTTAAGCTAATTCCCCCCTGCTTATCACAAGAAGATTTCTCCTCCTCCTCGTAAACTGGTATGGTCAGTGAACTGACCATCACTATTATCAGCAATTTCTCACCTCCATCCTTAAAAACCTCATGTGGCAGACTGTCACGTCCTGCTGCTTTGCATCGTTTTAAGTTCGATGTAGCTTTCTCAACTTCAAGGAGAGTTGAAAGGGGCGATTTATTCAGTCGAATAGCGCAGAGACGGCTGTTGACTGGTATCTAGTCGAGAAGCACACTTTCTGATCAACAACTGAATGCTATGCATACACTAAGGGGTCCACGAGAGCTGGTCATTGTCTCCGGATACTCTCAAGGAGAATTTCGAAGATTCACTACTATGACCACATACGGTTAATTTAATAACCACACTTCGGTCCTGTATACGTGTTTCAGAAACACAGCATACATTCATAGCTAAAGATTCCAGAGTTCTGACGAGTGATGCTTGCTGTTCGATTTGGAATAGAGTTCGGACATTGAAAGTTCCCACATGAAATCGATAGTGGGGTCTTAGGAGACTAGGAATGCGGTTTCGATGGCTTTGGTCGTCAGTAATGGTTGCAGAGTGAGAGGCTGGAGAAGGTGTAAGAGGCCTAATAATATTAGTATCAGAAGGTGAAGGCAAAGATGCAGACAACTGAGGAGGATAGGTTGTTTATTTATACTCGCAACTTCCCCTTGCCATACTGTTTCGAATTGCTCGACCCCTGTTGGCAATGATCTCCTATGCAGATGCCTTGATACTGACTAAGTATAGATTAGGAAAGGTTGTGTTTGATTAGAGCTTGCATGACAATAGCAGCGTGCGGACAGATGACACTTTCCGAACGTTCGCACTGTGGAAGGCTATTTCTTAAGGTAACTGAAAGAGAAAAAGCTTTGTATGACCACAGAGCCCATGAGACATCTGCTTGACGCCTGTCACAAACAGTCTCTTGTGGGTTGTTGTTTTGAGGTTTAATTGTTCTAACCCCAGATGGACAAAACACATACCACCGGCATGGAGAGACTATGGAGCCAAGTTTTACTAAGCCCCGTTCCATTGAGAAGACTGCATCAGCGTGGCACTGTTGGTCATACAAGGGAAACACCTTATTGATGTCACATCCCATCCAGCTAGCAGCAGTGAAAATTCGTCCTCAGACCCCCATCATAGCATAGTAATCTACACTACAATGGCAACTGTTTTTCGTCTTACCATTATCCAACAGAGTTTTCTGGCATAATACAACCTCGATAAAACAAATGTCCCATTAGCATAGCTCGTTGGGTTGTTAGAAAACGCAAGCCTGACCACAATTCAGGTAGTTCATAACAACACTTTGGTTGCCCAGCATCCAACCTGAACCTTGAATAGACATAGATGTCGATCGTCCAACACTCCTCGAAGTGTAAAAGGCTGCCTCTAACCTGAAAAGATGGTAAGCAGGAGTTGACCATTTTCTACCAGAAGATTGTAAAGGAGTAGGAAATTACTGAGCAGAGTAACGGAGGTACTATGTAGTGCGCAGAAATCAGAAGTCCCGTTGAACTGGTCTAATACACTGGTCATTCTAGTTTATAAGAATATAGAAAAATCCCCTTGTGATAGAAATATAGGAATTAGTTTGGCTAACATAGTATCGCAAATTCTAGAGTCCATATTTATCTCACACTAAACTGGAGCTCGGAAACAGAGAACCTGGGGAACCCAGATAGGTTTCAGACCTAGACGAGGATGTGTCGATCAGATTTTCAACCTTCTTCAGGCTATACAACACGGGAATACGTGCCGATGGCCGGTACTTGCCATATTCCTTGACGTGAAGGCGGCATCTGACTCTGTCAATGGTGAGGTGTTGTGTTAGTATCTGTCTATGAAGGGAGTGCTGAGCAATTATACAATGCCAATCAAAGATCTCTACTCAAACTAATGCAGCCATGTAAGGGGTTATTGAGAACTGTCATCGGAACTAACTACAGCAAGTGAAGTCCGTCAGGTATACCCGTTATAACCGTCCCTGCCCAACTTTGCCATGGATGTATTAGTGGGGACAACCTTAGTTACCGATGTTTTCACAGGAATTGACCTACTTTCTGGAGGGTATCTGGTTGACTTGAACTATGCAGATGAATTTGTCCTATAAAGTGAAGACACTAACAAAATGCAGATTCTTCTTCTTCTTCAGAACACCTTGAGTAGAAATCTAAGTATGTTTGGCTAACATGAGTTTCGCACATGTCGAATGTAAAATGATGCTTCAGGACGGGTCTAGGATTGCTCCTAGGTAAATTATAGGAAGTGAATTGGTTGAATGTATCGGTCATTTCACTTACTTGAGGAGTTGCATCAGCGTGATAAAATCTCAGCACGGTATGGAATTTTCTAACTTTTGCCATGTGTAGCGCCGACTGGCGAGGTATCCAACTTTCTGTTAAAGCACGAGTATATTATGCTTCAGTACACTCTGTCCCATTAAATGGCTGAGACATGATTGTTGAAATTACAAGATATGAAGAGACTTCAGATCTTTGAATACAAGTCTTTTCGTAGCTTTACTTACGTAAGGTGGAATCACTGTGTAAGTAATGTTGAGGTTAGCCGAAAGGTATTAGGCAAGACAGGAAATTCGGTCGATGAGGTTGCCAACTTTCACTGATTGAGGTGGCCTGAACACTTGTTGCGCATTCCAAGTCAACACCCACCTCGATGTGCAACGCTAGAACTCGGGTTAGCTTGGAAGAATGCCCTAGGTCACTCATCCAAATCAACATAGGACCAGGCATTACTGGGTAACGGTCCGAGTTGCCACAGCTCATACTAGTGCATCAAGTAAAAAGGCAGTGAAGTGGAAGACGAAGGAAAGATAACTCAGTCGAAAGAAATATAAACTACTAAAAGAGGGAAACGAAGAATGAAAAAATGATGAGATTCGGTACAGTGTTAAAATGAGGATAATGTGTGTACGTGTATACATCTGCGCCAATGATATCGATTCTCGGCCATACCACCTAGAGTCAGTCTCCAACCACTGGTTTCTTTTATCCCGCGGACCCCAACCACCTAGTCTGCAACGCTTCAAATGACTCAAACCAACAGTCAAACACTTCATATATTGGTGTCATGTTTTAGTCTGGTCACCTCAGTCTTTTTTCCAGCCTAAACTTACTTCGGCCAACATTGTGTGACGAGGCATACGTAACACGTGTCCCAACCATCTCGGTTAGTGAAGATTCACAACCTCGTCAACTAACTTACCTCTTCTCCCTAAAACTCCATACCTGACTTCTGCGTTACTCACCTGATGACATCACGGAATACGGCTTATACTACGAAGGCAAGGGTGGTCAAACACCTGAAGCCTTCTCATGTCTTCCACTTTCAATGGCCATGTTTCACAGCCATACAGTAGAACAGACCGGACTGTTGTGCAGTACGCGCGACTCTCAATAGACAAACGGATATCACGATGGCGCCACAGGCGGCGTAAGTTGGCGAAAGCCGACCGAGCCTTTTGCATGCGTGCAGAGATTTCATCGGTAACTAACCCACCAGGGCTGATCCGACTTCCCAGATAAGTGAAGTGGTCGACACACTCAACCATTTCACTCTCGATCGTTAGCCGTGGCACCGTTGAAGACCAATCCTGGAGCAAAAATTTGCATTTGGGTGGTGAGAACCATATCCCAAACATTCTCAAATTGCCACTCTAAGTGTTCAGAAGACTCTGCATCTTGTCACCGTCATCTGCATATTCTAGGCCTAACGAAAATTCTCCCGCGATTAGATCAACCTCTGTGTAGTCAGATGACGACAGAGAGACCTCCATAAGAATATCTATGAGTGAGCAGCCTTGAGGGACACCACTCGACAAGTACAGCTCCCCAGACATCTCACCATAGACACTAACACGCCTATAAATGTTCAAGTAAAGAGCTTTTAATAAGGTTATGTGCTTAATCAGCATACCTTTCCGTGAGAGACATTGCCAAGTGCTCACAAGGTTGTGAGAGCGGTTGACACTTCCCGGCTGCCCACACCGTGAAAGGATATTTCTTCTTAAGGTATCTGAAAGAGTTTTGTGTGACCGCGGAGCCCGTCGGCATCTGCTTCAGGCCTGTCACATTCAGCCTTCTGTGTATGGTTGTTTTGGGGCCGACTTTTTCTAACCCCCTTCTTTCACTGAGGAGGCAGCATCAACATGGCACTGCTGGTCACACCCCATCCAGCTAGCAACAGTAAGACTTCGCCCCCAGAACCCCATCATAGTGTAGTAATTTACACTACAACGGTAACTGCTTTCCGTCTAACCACTATCCAAAGGCCTTTCTGGTATGGCAGGACCTCGAGGGAGCAAGTATTCTACCAGCGTAGCTCGTTGGGTCACTGTGACATGCAAGCCGGCCCACCACGTCAAAGTAGTAGACATCGGTCGGGGAATGCTTTAGGTGACTAGACTAAGAAGTGTTATCAATCCGTGAAGTGTCTTAGTGTTGGCCTGAGGCGCGTAGAGAAGTGAAGTCTGCCTGGTTGGAAACCCTTGATGAAATGGCTGAAAATCGGTGACAGTAATACAAATGGATTCACTCTGATGCTTTCTAAAGCTAGAATATTTTCAATGACCACTTTCAAATTCCATCTCCTCCCATGCACCTCTGTCCACTTTGATAATAGTCTTTTTCAAACCACTTTTTCTTCGCATGCTATAATGATGTGTTGTAACTTGAACTGACGAACTCCTGTGCGAGACTCTACTTTGATTTTGTTTTTCTGTCTGAGATATTCTATGTGGTGAATATGAAAAAGATATAAAAATAAACAAATATACACAACTTTTTAAACTATATTGAAAATTTTATTTTACACCAACCTGATTTATTTCAACATCACTTTCATTTTTATTGTTTCCTGTTTTGCTTAGTTCAAAATTTTGAACATTTTTTGCAGCAGCTTCAGCTGCTGCTTTCATTTGCACAGCGAATTCAGTTACACTCAATTGAAAACTCCAGTCTGATGAGTGCTCAAATAGACAGAATTGTAGATGATTAAAATCACAGTTGTATACTTCTGAATTATTGTGTATGTATTCAATTAAGTGATCTAATGGTGAAAAAATTTTTTTCATAACTAAGGAATTCATAGTATGATTGTTTGGATTAGATGAAGAGATTGCAAAAAAGGTTGACAATAAAAAAAGTAAATGCAATTGACTTTGAAAAGTGAGCATTTCGTGGTTTGATGATAAATACATATATACAAGTTATCAGTAAAGAATAAAGGACACTGTCAGATGTGCATAGATCAGTATTGCAAGTCTATTAAACATGCTACATGTTCTGAATCATTTAAATATGTCAGTTCTATATTTTTACTATGACATTACATCTGATTCATCCATCTGACGAATAGTAATTAAGCTGAAATGTAGGAAAAAAAGTGATGATGACGTAAATGTCTGATGCAAAAAGGAACCAACCTTCTCTTTGATAAAATTATACACTGAAAGTTAATATCAGAAATGCTTTTGAGTATTATAAGTTAACAGTTCAGTGGGTACAACAGTAATTTATCTAAGGTAGTGCTTACCATGGACTGACATTAGTTTGAGAACCAATAAAGATCTGGGATCATTGAAGAGCTGTTACGTCTTAGCACAGTACATACCCCCAACCCTAAAATGGAACCCACGACCATCAGGTTTTGCGGCGAACAGGTTACAAATGAGTCAATGGGCTAAAATCCAATGCTTCACATTTTCCTACTCTCATAAATTCGCCACATAGTACGACAATAATCCAATACCATCAGTGAATATTTGTCTACATACCCAACTACGTTGACCTCACAGTTCACGACTCCTCTTTAGAACTTCAGGAAATCTGCTTCAAAGCATTTTACTAATGACCACTAGACAATGATTCGATTTGGAGGTTTTGGAGATTGGTTAATTTCGACTGAGTGACTGAAAAAATCACAGTCACAGCAGGATAAAAAGAACAGCTGGATAGAAAAAGTGATATCAAAGTAGACAAAGTTGTGAGGAGAGAATAAACAATCTGAAGATAACAGATAGTGTAAATATTCAAGCTTTAGAGGATGTCAAAGAGTGAATACATCTGAGCCATTGTCTGATTTCCAACCCTACTATCAACAGTCCTCAATCACTAATTCCTATCATTTCGGAGACCACATCCAGATAGTCTACAAATCTCAACACAGCTCAGACCAACAGTCAGGGAATTTATCGACTGACGCCACGTTTTGGTCTGACCACTCTGAACCTTCTTTAAACCTAATGTAACTTTCCCAAACATGGTAGCACTAATCATTATTCGAGTTGAAAAATTGTGTGTTATTCGGATGTTCATTAGTAAGTTAGTACTCTTCATACTAACCGATAAACACATCAGTAGAGCTGAATTTAGAGACTCCAAAAGGTGAAAAAACAAGGAATAATTAGTAAATTTACAGAGGCAGGAGCCAATCAGAACAATAACGGGTCATACGAAATATGAGCCATGAGCGGGAAGAGAGCGCGAATAAACCAGTTCAAATATATATAAACTGTAAGTATGGAAATATAAAGGGACATAGAGATCCCTAACAAGAATTCTCTGCCCATGAAACTATTGGAAGGTTACTGTTCAACACTACTTGACGCAATCAAATCAATTTCAAAAGACAGAATCAGAAGTTAATGAAAACTCGCTTCAGAGCAATATATATAAATAATCACACCTTTGTCTTCTGAAATAATAACAGGCGAATGTTATCTATCAAACAATTTACCTGCTTTTGGAATACCGTTTCATTCATTTCCAAACAGCACCGACATTTTTAGACATAGACAACTTTGATTCCTAGGCAGTCTGAAGATCGACAGAATCCGCTCTTTTCTAAAGTGCTCTAACACAGAACGTTTTTAGTATTTGACAAGAAACTCTTTATCATTTGTGTATCCTTACTTCAGCACCCGTGAGACGTGGCCGTTAAAAGTAAAATATATGAAGTGATTACAGAGTTTTGGTCACAGATGTCTTCGTACCATTGCTCGCGTTTGCTGGAATTACCATATAAGCAATGCTGAGGTCAGACGGGGCTCACTAGGCAAAACAGGCAAGTCGATTGATGAGGTTGTGAATCTTAGTCGACTTAAAGGGCTCACACATGTGTTGCGTATACTGATCCACCACCTACCTGAACGTGCAATGTTATGGGTAGTTGAATTAGGTTGAAAGAGAGTTGAAAGTGGTCAGACCAAAATGTGGCGTCAGTCGATAAATTCCCTGACTGTTGGTCTGAGCTGTGTTGAGATTTGTAGACTATCTGGATGTGGTCTCCGAAATGATAGGAATTAGTGATTGAGGACTGTTGATAGTAGGGTTGGAAATCAGACAATGGCTCAGATGTATTCACTCTTTGACATCCTCTAAAGCTTGAATATTTACACTATCTGTTATCTTCAGATTGTTTATTCTCTCCTCACAACTTTGTCTACTTTGATATCACTTTTTCTATCCACCTGTTCTTTGTACACCACTGTTAAGCGTAGTAACGAGCTGACGCACTTGTGTGCAAGGTTATACGTCGATTTCGCTAGTCAGTCACTACAACGTTTATTTATGTTAATAAAGTAGTAAACAGTAATTAATACTTGAAATACTTTCGTACCGCTAAACCATGTTTTTGACTACCACGTGCTTATAAGTAGTATATCAATGAGTGGAAAAGTATTCAGCTGCAGATTTTAAAAACTGGCTACTTCAAATCAATAATCCTTCGTGTTTCATAGTAGGCGTTTCGAAGTATCCAAAGTTTTATGAAAGTATCCATATCAGAAAGAGAGAGCGATGGGGACTGGGTCGAAACTGCAGAAAATGGATAGCATACATTATATAAATGATATCAACGAAACATTAGATATTTTATCACTAAAAATAGCCATGAGTGTGACAGTAGGAGAAAAAGAAAACTCCAGAACTAGTATATCCTTTTAATGCAATCTGTTGACAGGCTTTGTAGGTGCAGCATGCGTTGCCGTAAACTGATGCTAATAACTAAATCACTCTTCATCTAATAGGACTTAATATACGAAACAGAAATCCATTTCTGATAGACATAAATCAAAGTAAAACCAGATAGAGAAGTACACGAGTCCCATTAGTTACACTTCATAGTAACATGTGAAGAAAAAGCGGATAAAAAAACACTGATTTCAAACAGAAAGAAGTGTATGGGAGGAAGATGAATAAAGTAGAACGGAAGTTAGTGAAAAATGCTTAAACTTTCGAAGACATCAAAGACTGAATTCATCTCCGCTACGATGATCGATTTCAAGACATTTGACAAAACGTATCCAGCCATTGATTCCTCACGTTTCGAGAACTACCAGGTAGACTACTCTTCTAGACACACCACAAACCAATAATAAGACACTTCATGGACTAGGGGCATATCTTGTTTCGGTCAACCTTAACCCTCTCCCGATACAGCCCTACTTCCCCAAACATTACTCGTTCAAGTAGGTGGTAGTTCGGCATACACAATATGTGTTCAAATCACCTCAATAGGTGAAGCGTAACAACCTCATCAACTGACTTTCTGTCCTTGCCTAGCACCCTCCATCGAATCTTATCATTGATCACATGGTGGTTTCCCCACACATGAGAGCAATCACAAAGGAAGAATTTGTGGTCAGGAACCTCAATATTTTTTACTTCCAACGGCCACAACCCACAGCCATACGATCGGATAGAGCAGAGTGCAACGAAGTTTACTGTTTAGTTGCAGTTAGGTAGTTTACCAGCGTCATAGATGACGAAGGTTCCTAAATAGCAGACGGATTTTTCTTATCAAACTGACATTTCGTCATCAACCAACCATTTGGTCTGACAGGACTTCTAAAGTTAGTGGTTTAAGCCTCCTATCATTTTAGTGATCCTTATATCACAAGTCGGTTCAGACAAGCTGGCCAGGAGATTTGGGAATACTCCACATTTTAGCAGCCCCAATGTCTGACAGGATTACGTCGTCTGCATCCTCTAAATTAGCTGGATATTCCCCTGCAAGTAATCCATCTACTGAGAGCCAAGAAGTATCTAGATTTGCTCTCATTAACGCATTTACAACAAAATTAAACAGAAACGGTGACAGTGGGCATTCTATTGGTTGTAGTCAATTTAGATGACAACTTGTCATAAGCCCTACAGGTACATGAGTTCGAGTAGAGAGCTTCGATTAACATTACACCCCTGCTCAGTACTACCTGTACAGTCGAACACTGACACAACGCCTTTTGGTCAACAGAGTCAAATGTCGCCTTCAGACCAAGTATGACAAGTATCGTTATTACCTATCCCAACAGTGAAAACTATACTGGTAAAAGTAATCGCCAACTATGGTACAGGTGATATATTCAATTGCCTACTAAGGGTTTCGATGCTGTGAAAGACGACCAATGGAGGAGGACACGAGAAAGCTTCAGACACTCGACTAATGTTGCCTTCGTCTAATCAAAATCCGTCCAGCAGATGTGCACATTCGTGCAGTAGGCAGTGGACCACACCTATTGCGTGAGGACCAATGATACCACCTGGCAACCCAAACCACAGTAGATGAAGCGTTAGCAACGCAGAAGGTAGATGTAGAGGTTTAAGCAAAATAAGTAAGCCAGTTGATGGAGCTATAAACCTTTACCGAATCGGATGGCTGAAGCATGTGTTACGCAGGTCTAGAAACCATCTACCCCATCACGTAATACTAGCTGAAGGGGCTTCAGGTATAAAATTTCAAAGGTAGATAGACTGAAACAAGGCATCACCTTATGAAGTCTTTGGCTTTCTGCCTGAACCCTTTATGGAAATGTATACTTTCGGATTATGGTCCGCGTGACAGCCAAAATTGATGGTTGAAAACTGTTTCTGACATGGCTCAGAACCAGTCTGTGGCACAAACCCATTCATGCACTATTTTGATCTTAAATGTCATAGTGGATTTCAGTATTCCTCAAGCTTCTTCTTTGCTTCGTATAACTTTCTACGAATTCTACCTTTGTATCTTCTCTACCTCTATATTTCATTTTGTTATCGTATATCTTCATGTGTTAACATGAGATATGACAACGCAAACTGTTGAGTAATAACGCCAGGCTCTACGCTGATATTGGTTGACTGGTTCGGTGCCGTAATGAAAAGCAACAGTACAGTAGTGGCATCCATTATTGCTGATAACAGGTAAGTCAAGCCCATCCAGGCAGCTAGCTTTACCGAGACCAACCTTCACGAGTGTTTGTGAAACAGATGTTTTCGATGATTATTAGTACCATTCTTAAGTCACTGGCGAACAACTACTAGACCCTCACTACACTCTTCAGAGGGTACTTGGCTAACGTAATGCGATAAGGCTTAAACCTGTCATTAACCGGCTATTCTTGTCGCATTCTCAATAGAGGCTTAATTAGGATAGCATTTCCCCCTTCGTTCCTCCTCTTAATAGAAAGGTGGACTTCTTTATTCTCAGTTCTCATGGTCGTCAGCTGGTTTGATTTTGTTTGGTTTCGATGTGAACAGTTCAGAACTGGTGAAAACGAACAGGTCTCCTATCCGTTTCCTACAACTAACGACTTTTCAAACCTATCCAATAAGCGCTGTATCAGCTGAGACGTTTGAACTTTAAATAGTTGGAAGGGGTTGAATATAGACCACATTGAAAGTAAACGATAACATCACATGGTCGCTAATCACTCGTAGAAAGATATCAAAAAACAGTGATTTCGTCATATTTGTATCTGAACGCCAGATAACAGTGGAGCTTTGTGAAGAACTGAAAGACGTATGCTTAAAGACATACTGTACCAGGACGATCTTCATAACAGTAAGGAGTAACCTCCTATCAACGTACTACTAGATGGTGTTGCAAAAAATTGAACTCCTTCGAAGTTAGGTTGTTTAAGTCACCAAAGATGAAATGGCGGTTGCATGTTCACCAGTTATCAGAGTACCCCAACACAAAGTTATCAAAGTGCCAAGTCCGACCACAATAAATCATGCTTATTACCAGTGTGCACTCGCTGACTGGCCAATGCAAAAGTTCCACTATGCTAAATAATACTGAAAACATGCACAAACTGTTGCCAACAAGCAGCGCTGCCCTACTTCAAGCCCTTTACACAGCGATTTATTCATATCGTTTTTGGAGAATGAACTGCTTACCACTGAAGTCCATTACATGGAAGGGAGAATGGGATTCGAAATACACAAACAATTGACAAAATGTAGACTAGCTGGCTGAAACAACACCTGGCCAAGTATAAGAAATAAGGTAATATGCAGTGCAAAATAAAAGTGGAAAACCACGTAGGTATTATTGTTTCACTATATGCTTGAAAAAGCATTTCTTACAGAGTTTGACCACTCGAAGTGTTAACTGGCGTGCGCCTAACGTACTTTCTACCATAGTAAATGATGCGATACCCAAGAATAATGCTAAAGGTATGTGGTATCTTGAGAGTTTGATAGAACCTTGCTACCAGATATAAGAATATGATAATCCCAAAACCAAAGGAACGACTAAAAACTTGGACTATTAAATATCAACGGATCTTATTGGCATCCCTTACACATTTAAGGGAGTAGTAGTATAAATTAAGCAAATTTATTTGCACGGAATAAATGCTTTTTAGTTTCTCAGTGCCATTGTGAAATGAAAACCTTACGGTTAAGTCTGAAATGCCCTTAGACAATAAGGAGCTCCCACTTGACATCCAAAATTATTTTGTGCAGTGAAGTTATAAACGGTGCATGCTTACTTCAGGTGCGTTCAACAAAATTCGAAACAAACTTCTCAGAAAATCGACCGCCAAAACAAGCTGACAAGGTCACCATCCATACTCAGCGCGGTACGCATCATATCACCTTGAGAGTTCACTCGTAAAAACATACACAATCATGGACCACATAACAACAAAATCAGTATGTCTTGAAAGACATAACATTGCTGTTACTAAAAAAAACCTGAACTAGATTGATTTTTTAGACGTCAATGCAATCAAAGTGGTGTATTGTAATTTAGAGAAATCAAGAAAATAAGGAATTACATTGTTATTAAAATCCACTTTCCACACACCTGTGATAAAACCCACGCTGGTTCGATAATAACCACCTATACAGCTGCTGGCAATCTTCAATCGATGCACTTCCAATTTAAGCCGTTGCACGAAAACTTCGGCAGATGTATTTTAATATCTGGCCTCTCTTACTTGCTTTTAAGAGTCCCATTTGCGCCATCGTCTCTCTCATTTTAAATTCCGGTTAAGCCGCTGCAAGACGGTCGCCCTAAACATTCGCAACAACGCTTGTGGTATTCCGGGTGCAATTTTACCGTAGCGTTTGCTATGCAGTGAAATCAGTGCAAGAACTGGATAATAACAATTGTACAAAACAAGATCCCACAGCTCACAAAATCAAAGGGAGTTAAACGGTATCTGGTATTACCAGTCGCCTTGCACAGACATTCAAGGACCTATAGTAGAATGTAAGTTACTGCCGAACACTTGCCAGAAGAATTTTCTGTCGAAATGAATAGCTGAGGATCGCGACGACGGCCACAAGATTGCGTCTTTTTACACATGGGTTGCTTTTATAACCCCAACAACGTCCTGCGATGTGCTGAATATAGAGGAATTCGAGGAATTTGGATTAGCTAGGAAGCGGGTATATTTAATATCTCGCGTCTTCAGAGTTGGAACTACTGGCCACAAGACCCTTCGAGTGTTCGTTGAAAAGATTTACACAGTGCATTTTTTTCTTACTCGACCCTTTCGTTTTTCACGTTGGTGGTCGAAAGAACATTATTTCATGTGCAGAGGAGGGTGTAGCGGAAAATCGGTTTGAAAATTCCTCCTAACCATCCCACTTGGTTGTATTGACATTTATTTTAATATTTTTACCCTTTTTATGGGTGGTGTACCTTTGACCCTAGCCGGTGTAATGTTATTCGGTTGTTTGACTATCTTCTTTGACTTTTACTCAGTATTCGCCTTCGTATGATTGAGACTTATCATCAGCGTTTCACTTTCCTATTATGTGACGCTGGACTGTTGACAAGGTGATGTTGTTTTACTGCGCCCGACATTTTGTTTTGGTCAAAGTGATCTTGCGAGCTTCTTTAGATTGGAGAGGAGTTTCAGAGCCAGGGTGGGGAGATGAATCAGGGCGGTGCTCCCACGGCAAAGTACAATATCGATAACTGGACAATGTCCCCCGAACTGCAACTTTATAGTTGTCAACACATGGGATTTATTACAAAAGTGAACGGGAACGTGTCATACTTACCAACCACGAGGCTGTTATGGCCAGGGAAAATGCCAGACTAAAATTTCCGGACGTCCACTTGATGAACTCCAATAGACCTACTACATTTCTATACTGAGGTTAAAAAAGGAGGTATCTGGCCCTCAGCCGTAATATTCAGTAATATTATCAATCTCTGACGATAAATGGTAGGAGAATGAATGCGATCCATAGTCATACACCCCTTAAAGAACAGCAAATAACAAGCCACATAAATATATTCATGCACAGGCTTCCTGTCGCTGATGAAAAGTAGAATATGACAAACATAACAGTGAAAGTACTAGCTTCAGAGTTTATTTTTCCCCAGACAATACTTGTAATGCTTGAATGCAAACCCTGATATTTTGTTAGCGCGAAGACAGTATTTCCGATCGTCCATGGTATCAATTTGCGCACACTTATTCTGTTGACTTCCTACATTTTATCGATATGCAATACAAAAGTTCCAGTATTGCGGTTGGGGTGGGATTAGGGCATCACATTGTCACTGCCATTTGAGGCGCGACCCAGCGTAACCTATAACATTATTATAGTTAATGCTGTTCGTGACAAAGGCTACAAATTAAGCCTTCCCGACTATGATTTTCATCGCTTTTATAATGTGATTTTATTGGATGTCTCCGGTCTTTTCTTGCCGTATCCTGTCATCGCCTTTTTTCATTCCCTTCTGCTATGCCATCTAGACCTTATGACGAACGCATAAAGCCCAAGGTCACAGCTGCACTACCCGCCCTACCTTCAAGAATATTGGAAGACTCAAACAGTAGCCGAATATTTCTCACTTTCGAACTGAGCTTGCCTCAATATGATGAACAATTATGCTGGTGTTTATCTGTTTTATTCTTTGCTGTCTGCAAAGCATTAACGTTCTTACTCTAGACACATCTTTTATGTACCGGAAAGAACGGTGTTCATTGTACAGCTTCATATTGTACAAAACAGTCAGTTCACATTACCAAAGTGATGAGACCTGTAAACTGGCTTGTTTTCACGCAACTTGTGTTGTACGAAATATATTATTATTATGATGATGATTAGAAGCCCCCCGGAACAAGGCGTAGTAATAACGATCTCCCACCTATATGAATTACTGCAAGGCAAACACATTTTTTCCACCAAGCGCCACATCAACAAGAACAGAAACAACATTTCACTCCGCACCGTCGTTGGGCCTATTATTTTCATCGCAATCCGAAACTGCATACTTAAAAACTGCTACCTAACACCATAAATGTATGCTTGCAAATGACCGAACATTTGACGAACCTCTCATGTGGAAAATTTGTTACTGTTATGCTGTTTATGAGCTTCCTATTCTAAAAGGCGTTCATGGCTTACAGTTTCTGTAGTCTTTTTGCTCATACTTTGCTTTCAGTGGTCCTTGCAGCTACTTGTCCTTCTGTAACCCAAGGTGGTGAGCTTCGGGCTTTAAAGTCCTCACTTCCTCTTCTCACTTCGCATTCATATTCGATTATTGTCCCATAAGTACAGTTCACTGAACTTCTACTCATTACAAAATTTTGCTAAATTACTGCCGCGGCCTAGAAATTCTGTCGCTTTTAGGTGATAATACACAGTCAGTCAAACATAAACTTCGGCGTTGAAAAACTATACATTCTGGGTATTATCAACTCTTTCTGTGTTAAAAGTAAATTATGTTGACAATCACACCTAACATTTAGCTTTTATCCTTTTCCTTTAAGAAATACGAATGAAATTCATCCTCATGGAAAGCTGCCATGACCAGAAACTCTGAACACCTGCTATCCTCTTTTGCTTTGTCACTTAGTCCTACTTACCTAAACCTGCCATTTACCCGTGAGCGACGAAGCTGTACCGGACAAAATAGTTGAACGGATGTAAGTATGTAATGACTTCCATAAACCACCGTCTATTTGAACTCGCAAGGGTGAAACTGTTATTATTATACGGTTTCTATCTGGCCACCAAAAAATACTTTCCTTGGTCTTGTGCCGATGAGTGCCCAAGAAATACAAAACGCTAGTGGTCGCTCTCTGCGTCCGTCTATATTGCGTGTGATGGCTCCTGAAACTAAATTCAGTAATTGACTCCTCATTTGCCTCCACGGAAGGCATTTACAACACTGCTAAAGAACACTTCCACTTCTTTTGATCGAAGACTTGCAAAATGTTTATAACCTAGGTCCATGGTGCAGGAGTTCCATTTCTAACTGCCCGATTGCTACATTCTTTTAGATATCATTAACATTATTTGGAGGGTACAAATTTCCAGCATTTATAATGGTCAAAATTATCCAGACGGAACTTTGAAGTAAAATGATGGAATATTGCTCAATTTGGAGACTCCTATCCTTGGTAAACGGTAGAAATTTGCCTGAGCCTGAATTTGGAGTCGCAAAACTCTGGAACTTCATAAAGTCGACACACCTTTCACTTGCAGAGACTGGATGCCTTTGTGAGGCTTCATATACTTGCTTCGCAAATTTCTACATCTGTGATGACAGTACACTACTGCTTCCCATCGCTGATTCCCTAAATCGTCACTGTGGGTTCTTTTAGTCTCCGAAGCTGTAAGCATAATAATTTGTGGTAAATAAAGGTTTGTCTGGCCTAACTATGCACTATGAGGACGAGTCAAAAATGTCGACCGCATGTAACGGAAACTTGCAACTTTGTTAGGTTTTGATGTCATAAGTGACCGAATATTTTGTCTCAACATTGTGAATTTAGCATGAGAGACGTCAGTTTACGGGCAACATCACATTGATATTCGTTCAAAAATAGGCAATGTATTCGGATGCGTCAGGGACCTTAAAAATGGTCAACCGCTAAGTTTCAATTGAAAAAATGCCCGCAGCCATGGAGATTAATTGCTTTTACAACTGTCGTCTTCGTGAACAGCTAGCAAAATTTTCATTTGGCTGATCTAGTGGCTCTATGGGACCTGTTCGCTTAGAAGCGATGTGGAAAATCTAGGCGTCCTTAGGTCGCTCTAATCGATATTCCGCTTCAACATTATCTAGAAGTCTTACAACCACCCTATCAGCATTCTTATCATCAAAATGCTCACATGTATTAAGTGAGCCTCATCTTAGCGTCTTCAGTTACCAAATTTCCCAAGTTCTGAAGAGTGGGTCTAGGAAAATATTTCAAAAAGAAGATCGGGCCCTCAAGTGACAAGTGCACGGCATTCGGAGTAAGAAACACCCTACATATATGATGCCATTCCTAAGGGTATGTAGTACCGCAGATTTATTTTCCTCTCCTTGTTAACCAATCTTACCATCAGGGAAGAGACCAACTCAGTCGAAACCAATGAAGGATAGTGAAGAAGAGCTAGTTACCAAAGGGGAGAAACAATGGGCTGACCACTTTAAAAACTCTTGAATCAACCACCATCTGCAACTCGTCCAGAAATACCACCAGCAACTGCAGAACTACCAGTAAACACAAACCCTCCAACAAAAGCAGAAGTCCTGAATGCCATAACGTTGCTGATATCCAGTAAAGCAGTAGGACCGCTAGGAACACTGAAAACAGACGCATAGTCAACAAGGGACATGCCAACACTACTATTGC